GGGGGGGGGGGGGGGGAAGGCACGTGCGCATGAAGGATAGCGGTCAGTCATGGTGGGGTCATGTGCGTTCGATGGTCTGTATAGCCGAGAGAGCAAACAATTGCGCCGCCGCGTGCGAGAGAGGAAGCGCACACGACGTTCGACTCGACTCATCGACGACTAAACACACAACACGAAATCCTCCTTCATCATCTCGAAGTGATGAAGAGGGACAAGCCGGTTGCTCTGGCTCCAAAACAACGGGCATTCGTGGGTAGTAGAACGAGAGCTACCGACAAAATCATGTTGCATCGCACCGGAAATTAACATTACTCCGCCTGTCCTTACGGAACCCCAAATCTACGGAGCACCGTCCCTCAACCACGGCTACATCAGTAGAAGGAAGCAAAGCAACATCTCACAGAAAAGCCTCCACCCCATATTTCACGGAAAAACAAACACAAAAAACGCCAAAACGGAGGCAAGCGAGGAAAAAAAGGGAGGGGCGGCCCCGAAGGCGCAAACATCTCACACACCTCGCTTCCCGGAGTGCCCGACACAAAAGGCCACCCTGTGACGAACCCTCCCGCTTCCGCCGACCGCAACAACAGTCCCGCCGCCCCGGACACCACCGCCGACGCGGCCGAGCCTGACGACCCCGGCGCCGCCATGACGAAAGAAGGGGCGCCGTCGCTGGGGGTGCTGCCGCCGACGGCCTCTGAATGGTAAGTATTTTCCGTCAGGACGCGCTCGAGGATCACCAGCGATTCCTATTGTAGTGGTCGTTAGAAAAAGAGTGGGGGGGGATGGTGTGTGTGTGTGTGTGTGTGTGTGTGTGTGTGTGTGTGTGTGTGTGTGTGTGTGTGTGTGTGTGTGTGTGTGTGTGTGTGTGTGTGTGTGTGTGTGTGTGTGTGTGTGTGTGTGTGTGTGTGTGTGTGTGTGTGTGTGTGTGTGTGTGTGTGTGTGTGTGTGTGTGTGTGTGTATGTGTGTTTTGTTTTGTTTTTGTCTTCACTTCAAATCAGCGCTCACAGCACCTATGTGTGTGCGTCTTTATACTACTTTGTACTAGCACCGACCGTGCTGACCCGGCGGTCACGACAAAAAGAAGTGTGTGGTGTGTGGGTGTTCGCAATAGTGTATTAGCGGCGAGCCAATGAAAAGGCAGTCTTGGTGCGACTGAAAACGGAAAACGTGAGGTGGTGTGTGCGTGCGTCATAACGATTTGCATCGACAGCGCCTCCGAGCGGTTCATCAATCAAACCACATCGGTCTCAGGTCTCAAGGCCGCCAACGAAGGAAAACGATTCTACAGGCCATGATGTGGGAGGGGCCATTGGGGAGGCCAGTGCGTGTGTCATCTCATTTGTTCTGAACGTGTACGAATACGCCCACTTGGCATGTACAGCAGTGCCACAGCAGAGCGATAGAATGCCAAGAGAATGGCGACGGTCACGACGGCTTGCAAACAAAGAAAGCACAACAAGAACAGCAACAGCAGCAATTACCACCACAGCACCAGTGACAACCAGCGTCAGCGTGACAATCTAGTGCAGCACACGCAACTCAACGGCAGACACTACTCATAGCATACCGCTGTGGTCTGACGACAAAGGCAGACAGCAGCAGCAACATCAACAGGCATGAGAGCATCGGCGCAGACAACACCCAAGGAAGCAAGCCCACAACCTCTCTAAAAGTGTTCCCAAGACATCGCGTCCAACATCTATTACTGCCGAGGATGCTGCACCTGTGCGAGGGCAGTGACCATGTCGAGGGGGCTGTCCCCGTCATCCTGCAACGCCGAAAACGCCTTCGAATAGTCCACGGGTAGAAGCGACTTCGGGAAGCCTGCTGCTGCCAGCTCGTCTTGCTCGCTGCCGCTGATTTTCGTCGCCCATTCAAGAGAAAAATAGACATGATGTGTGGGGGGAGGTAAAACTTCAGATGAAAAAAAGGCACTGTCGTATAGTCCGTCCGGTTACATAGTGCTACCACCGGACCCCCACATTTTTTCGCTAAATTTTGAGAGAAAACACGCGAAAAAAAGTCGACACGAACAGCAGGGTTGAAAGGCATCGACATCCCGTGTCAAAAAAAAAAAGGGGGGGGAAAAATGGCCATTTTTCGAAAAAAATACCCCGAAAAAATGAACTCGAATTGAACATGTATCTATCTTCGCACTTCAAGGCTGAGGGAGAAATTGGGCGGAAATGTGTACCCAAAGCAACAGGGGGGTACGTGTGTGCGATCGATATCTGCAGATCGATTGCTCCACCACCAACGGCTCAACGACGTTGCTCCCATGAGAGGTACGAACTATGGGGGGTGGGGGTCGTCGGGGTTGGAGCGGCGGTGAGCACACCGACACATGAACGCCTCACCGCAAAGTAATGTGCCCAACCTAACCTGTATTACTGATATGTTCGGGTCGCGGTATGCGCCAAACAGACGAGAGAATCGAATTTGAAAACAACAACATACCAAACGAACACCTCCCTACCCCCGCCCTCACCTCTCGCCATTTACCCCGGCCGCTGCCACCGCTGCCGCCACCAGAAGGCTCATACACGCGGCCACCGCCGTCCCTAGCGACAAGTCTTGCGCCACGGCGAGCGAGGCGTCGGCTTTCAGCGCCCGAGCCACGGAAATATACTCCGACGCAGCTCCGCCGGACTGCGGCTGCGGAACCGGGAGTGGCTGGTCGAGAAGGACACTGTTTTGGCACGGGTTCCACGCAGAAAAAAACAAAACATTTGAAGTGTCAGTTCTTGAGGTGCCTTTTGGTAGGGGTTCCATGCAGAAAAAAAGGAAGTTTTCTGGCGAGGCGCCCACCCACGGGGGATCGTAACGGTGGGGTTGCGCAGGCCGGCGTTAAGAACTGTCCGCTGGAGCTCGATGCTTGAACAACGCTTGAGGAGGTGAAGGCTTGTGGGTGTGGAAAGCCGGAACATCGGCGTGTCACTGAACGCTTTTGAGGTCAACATAGTAGAAGGAGGGTGCGTGAGTTGGTCAGGCCCGTGAAGCGCTGTACGGCCGAAGGAAGAATTGATGCTTGAGCACCTACTGCAGGCTGTTCGCTTTTGAAACTATTCAACAGATACGCGCGCACGTGCACAGGGGGGCAGGGGGACGACGACGGACTCTCGAAAGCCCAACACTCAACCGGGCAATAGCGGACAAGAGTTCCTTCCCCTCGCTTACCAACCAGCAGAAAATTGATCACATCGCCATCATAGCACCACCAACAGCAGAGGACAGAACGCGCCCGCACTCAAGAACCCAGGAGCTAAGAGATTGAGCCTCAAAAACACATCCAAATTTCAAGAAATTGAGCCTCAAAAACATCCAATATTTTCCTAGTAAGGAATCTCAACCAAAACAAAATCCAAAGTCAAAGAACGTGAGCACCCCTTGTGAGCGCGGTTAAGAACCCCTGCACAAAAGCCTATACAACGACCATCCGTAGCATCACCGACCGAGGAACTAAGAACCCCCCAAGCCTCGTCCGAAACAATAATAGAGGTTCTTGAAGCGGGCGCGTTCTGTAGCAACGAAAACAAGAAAAAAGCGGGGCCTCGACCCACCGGATGGACTGCAAGCACAGCAACGACAACGCCCAGCGCTGTCCCATTCCACGGAACCCCCAGTCCTGCAGAGCCGGGAGCGTGAGCGTGACCAAACCCAGCATGCGGGAACCGGCCTGCTGTAGTGATCTTTCCTCAGACAGCCTTCCTTTTTGCCCCGCTTGCCGTAGCCTTGGGCGGAAGTAGACAAAGGAAAAACAGAAAGTGGCAAGCGGATTGTGAGAGTGGGGCTTGGTGGGGGTAACGAAATCAACAGCAGGTGTTTGCCTCGAAGTCCTTTGGGCCAACGGTCACGCGCCCCCCTTCGACATAGGCACCGAGACGGACGGACGACTGCACCGCCTCCTAGCAGAGAGGCCGCCAACACATGTTGGTTTCCTTCACGAGCTGAGACATATTCTGACGCTACCTAAAACGGCTTTGCAAGTCCTGGCTCTATTACGAAGGACGCGGCGGCGGGGGGGTGCACCGGAAAATGATGGGCGTGAGAATTTCGGCGAGTGGTCATGCGCGGTAGATTTGCTGCCGGTTCGATCGCCACTCCAGAGGCGAAACTAGGAGAGCCAGGTATGTCCAGCTGGCGCCGCCAAGCCTCATATCAATCAACGTGTTCCTTCCAACGCATTCCTTCGAACGGGGAAGAATCTCCAATGGTTGTGTGCACACTTTCCAAAACGTCGAGGGCAAGCGCCCCAGCGTGTGCCACAACCGAACGGTGGAGGAGAGACTAACCCTCTCAAGAGCTAGCTAGCCAAGTTCGCAGTGAGCGAGCCAAATCAGGTGCGATCCGTGGTTCACCAAGAAAAACACCATCTGTGACGGCACGTCCGTGCATAGCGAGCCGTCCCATGTGTATCTAGGAAATAACGGGAGCCCAGAGGGGACAGAAGAACGGGAGCCAAGGGGGGACAGATTCGGCACGATTCCATCCCCAGCCTTCGCCCCCCCCCAAAAGCTACCGAGGAATGAACGAACCTGTCGATCATTCCCAGTCTTTCCCCCCCAAAAAAGCGCGGCAAAGGGCCGACAGAGCTAAACGAAAAGCAGAGTTTGAAGTCCGGTCGGAGTAACGAAAGACAGAGATGTGTCGGGGACGGACTCTGTTCGGCGGCCACATCTTCAAGCAGTGGCCTTGGTTGGGGGGGGTAACAACAACCCATGCCGGTCGTGGGTCACGGGGAGAACTCCTGCTTCCCCTCTCCCTCCTGCTGCTGCTCCTGCTGCCGCCCATGGTTTTGTCGTTCGGCCATGTGAATCTTCCAATGCCCGGCACCAAGATTTGGTTCGTGCCTCTATCAAGACGCTGTTCCCAGGGCAAACGACGAGGGTTCTGTTGCACCCTTGATGTGACAAGGCTCGTGTTGAGTGAGTAGTAGTGGACCTTTGCTGCTGCTGCTGCTTGCTGCTGCTGCTGCTGCTGCCCTGGCCGCACCGACTGGTCCTCCTACGGCATGTCCTCGCCACCCGTTGCTGCCGAATTTCGCAACGGCGACGGTGGTCGCCTAGTTCATGCCTCTGACACACCTGTCTATAGCCGGCTTGGGCTTGGTGGGAAGCGGCGGAGGATCTGCCCACCGCACAGCTCGCACAGCATGCCGAGCTTAGCGAAGGGCAGATGCCCCACCCCTTCCCCTTCAGAGAACAACACCAAACATCCATGGACTTTGGGCTTGCTTCCCACCGAGCCCAAGCCGGCTACAGACAGGTGTGTGAGGGGCGTGGACTAGGCGACCACCGACGCCGTGGCAACAAGCGACAGAAAGGGGGGCCCGCAGATGGGCGGCGAGGACGTAACGTAGGAGGACCAGCCGATGGGGCAAGGAGGGCAGCAGCAGGAGCAGCCGAGCAGAAGCAGCGGGAGGAGAAGAAGAAATGCCCCCGTGCGACCCACACGACCTGCCCTGGGCCTTGCTCCCCCGCCCCGACCGCGGCTTGAAGATGTGGCCGCCGAAAAGGGTCCGTCCCCGACGTATCTCTCTGCTTTTGGATATTCTCTCCCGATGTGTATATATATATCCACTCTACAAGGGAGGTTGCGCTGGACAATGAGAAAACGAAATTTGTGTAGTTAGGCTGTCGGAAAAAGAGACCCGGCCCAAACAAACCCAATACTTTCTGTACGTGCTCAAAGATGGAGACGGTAAGACAACAACTACTGGTGTACGCGGATGGATCGTTTCTGGATGTGGGGCCACGCGGAAAGATTGAGCACCGCATTATCAGAGGGGGGAGGCTCGTCTCATCCCAAACAAATCCAATGGTACTCCTGTCGAAAAGCGATCCACAACGGAAAAACAAACGAGCAAAAAAAAAAAAAACTACCGTAAAAAGAGGCGCACTCGCTCTGTCAATACTCACGTGGGCAAGTACGCCTGCCCGAGGTGCTGTAGGACTTCCCGAACTAGCCGCAGCATAGCTCCGGTAAACGCGTACGTGCCTACGCCGCCGCACGACACACGACACGCGTGGATGAATGAGTCGACTTGCCTTTGTCGTCATGGCCCATCGATATCGATGCAAACCATTTTGATCGACTTCGTGATTGTAATTACCGGGAGAATTCCGCTATTGTCGACGCAAGGTTATAAACCTTATTCGACGACGATCAGGTGCACGCGACTGAAACATGACAGAAAAAGGTACATGCATAATGAGAACATGCGCTTTTTGTGCGGACGCGAGGCACTACACCTTTGTCGACAAAAGTATAGTGTACACGGGACTATGCAAAATAAACAAAACAAAGGTACAACCAGCATGACAGCAACCGAAGTGCGTCCACGTCCGAAAATCCGGCAGCCTAGCTCATACTTAAACAGATGCATATAAGCGCCCAGATTTCAAACAAGAAGAGCAGAAATCAGGACCAGACCAAAAACAAATGATTCTCTTCGGAAATATTACCCCGGCAAGAATATTTCTCTCCGCACAAGCGCTTGAGCCCCGGAAACAAACGGGACCAGACATGAACAAACCAAACGACGCATATCTCCGTAACATCATGCATGGAAACCATACCCTGGCAACACCTCATCTATTCACAAACACAAACAAAGCCCCGAAAACAAGGGTCAATCCGCCTGTCGCCTCTCCATCTCTCTCACCGTGAACCCCATCGATGTCCCTAGCCACCGTCCAACAGGCCTCCAGTATCTCCGCCCCCCGCCCCCCGCCCCCAATCGACCCCCCCACCCCGATCGCGATCTCCTTCACCCACCGGTGCCCCCCGGCGCCCCCCCCTTCCGTCCCCACACCGCCACCGCCGGCAGCCTCAGAAACATCTTCACCGTCGCTGGCTAGCCCCACCGCGCGTAGCTCGGCCGCCGCCCCGTGCGCAGCAAGGGTGCCCAGCAGCTCTACCGTAGCCGCCGCTAGCCCGTACAGCGATGCCCCCAGGACCGCCTCGCACCCCCCCGGCGCGGGGGGGGAGAAGGGGTCTACCCCCGGTAACAGCGTCTCCGCCACCGTGCTTCGCTGGGGGGGGTGCGCCGCCACGAGCGGCAGCAGGTGGCGGAGGATGCCGACCAGGATCCGAGGGAGCTGGGCGGCGAAGCAGCTGGACCCATCGTTGATGGGGAGAGGGTTTCCCTCCGCCTGGAAGGCGGACAGGAGAGCGGCCGCACCCCCGGCATCGTCTAGCTCGGCCTGAAACCGGAGCGTTTTAATTGTCGATCAGGGTGGTGTTACATGGGGGAGGGGGGTGCTCATGTTGTGCATGCCGTAGTCGTTAGACCAATGACCTCGCAGCCCTACAGAGCCGGGACGGAGCAGGCCGGGGTTTCACCGGACCAGGCGTGTTTTATTGTCGGTCGGGTGGTGTTACGTTGGTGGGGG